GTTGCCGGGGTCTGAGTTCCCATCGTACATCTCCAACGTGGGAGCTTTGAAGCGCGGGGAGAGAGGCTCAAAGATGATGTTTGGGTGAAGGCATCCATCCTCCCTGTCGGGTTTCTCTGGCCAGCCGAGGTGTCAACTTGGCTCTCCCGAACTTGGTGGAGCTCATCCCTGACGGCCCCGAGCTCGACTCGTAGTTCTACAATCCGAGGGTCGGGTAGAGCTCTCGTGAGTTGCTCTGCAAGGAAGAAAGTGTTAGAGGCCTCGGGTGGAAACCCGAGGCAAGGACTCCAGCGGTCAAGTTAGTGTTTGCACGAGGTAAACAGTAAGTCTAGAGTCGAGGGGCCCAGACGAGGTCACTAGTGGCACTAAGTCCTCAGGGAAGAGGATATGAGAGGTCTCAAAAGTTCTGGATCCTTTACCTTGTGGAAGGTGCCTTGCATCTATAGTTGAAGCTTCCTAGAAGTAGTTGGGCTCGGATGGCCCAAATGCGAGCCGTGTGAGGGCTGGACAAGATATTCCAGTGGAGCCACGCGACGCCCTGTGATTGTGCCCGATTTATACCAAATGGCTCTACGCGTCCTTATGGCGACCCTATGCTAACGCCTATTGGCTGACACATGTCAGCCCCGGCTAGCCCAATCATAGGGCATCGTGTGGCTCTGCTGGAATATTTCGCCCAACCCTCGTATGGCTCGCATCTAGGCTATCCGAGCCCAATTATTCCCAGGTATTTCTAACTATAAATGCAAGGCACCTCCCACAAGGTAAAGGATTCAGAACCTTTGAGACCTCTCATATCCTCTTCCTTGAGGACTTAGTGCCACTAATGGCCTCGTCTGGGTCCCTTGGCTCTAGACTTATTGTTTACCTCATGGAGGCACTAACTTGACCGTTAGAGTCCTTGACTTGGGTTTCCACCCAAGGCCTCTAACACTTTCTTCCTTGCAGAGCAACTCACGAGAGCTCCTCCAGACCCCTTGTATGCACAGGCGAGTAGTTATACTTTGGTCTCCTTGAACATCCTTCTCAGTACTAGCCCTCGACTTCTTCAGCATCCGAGGAAGCGATCCTTCTCGGCTTCTAGTTCTTGGCCTCGGCATACCCTCTTCAGATCTTCAAAGCCTTCGACCATCCTTTGAAGCTCAGGAGTGACTTGACTTTGTTGCCCTCCGCCACTCCGAGTATCGACAAACAATATTTTCAAAAAAAAAGAACCAAAAACAATGTAACTATATTTCTAAAAATATGAAAATATGTAATTAACTGTAATTATTTTATAATTAAAAAAATCAACATATGGTTATTTTATAATTAACAGTAGTTATTTTTAAAAAATTATATTTAACTACATTTAAATAATTACAGTACTTTTAATTATTAGGGATGGCAATTCATACTTTGGTATGACAAGTGAATGCAACATTTAAACTAAGGGTACCCGCCCCTACCCTCCCCGACGGTAGTGACAACGACGATGGGGCAGGTTTTTTTGTTTTAGGAATGGGTTTTGGGGTAGGGATGCGTTTTGAGATTCTACAACTCGTACGGGTATGGATAGGGTACGTGTTAGGATAAACCTAACCCTCCTTGACCTGTATATTGTTGGAAAGCATATAAACTTTATGTATTAAGTCTTGAATTTAGTAATATTTTAAATTTTACATGAACAATTAATAGTTTATGTGCTTTTTACATGCCTTAATCAAATAATTAGAAATTTAGTAATATTCTAATGCCATATATTTGGTATACTTGGAGGGGCCTCGCCTGCATTATATGTGGGCTTGATATGGGTCCGATTGGGCTAGGCCAGAGTGAAGTTACTTTCTTCAGCCCATAAATTTTTCACATACGGGCAATTGTCAGCAAAATAATATATGCTTATTTCACCAAAAAAAAAAAAAATCATCCTTTCACGACGTTTAAATAAAACGTGGCCGAAGTTCTCTTTTTGGTGAAGTTAAAAGAAAGGTTTTTGCAACGGTTACGAATAGCTGTTGTTAACATCCGCCTTTTCCCAACATTTAATTTCTGTTTTGACGACGTTTACCGTAAGTCATTAAAAGTCATTCCCGCCACCGCCAATATTTAGCCCCAAATATTTTAACGTTGTAAAAACCTTAACTTTTAATAACATTCAGTTTATATTTTAGTGACATTTTTGCTAAACGTCACCAAATGTCTACTTGAATCCCTTTTCCAAAATTGCTTTATTATATATATAATTATTATTGTTATTATATTACTATTTAACTTTAAAGCTTTATCAATTAGTTATAGAATGAATTAATTATAAATTTAAGTTATAGCTAATTTGAAAATAATTATAAAAAATATTTATATAAATGAATATTTTAAATGCTTACATATTTAAATTGTTTTTATTGAGCATAAAGTTTAATTATTAGTATTTCTTTTTAATTTTATTAATGTAGTTAGTATTTTCAAATAGTCAATTACATTCTTGTTTTTAATTAAAATTTGAATATTCAAATAAATTTATCTATTTTAATTAGTTATAATTATATTTAATATTTTAGAGTATAAAATTTATATTTTTATATTTATACACAAATAATATAAAAATATACCACCACTCAACCACCCACTACACCGTGTATTGTTACATAAGGAATCTCATCAAATATAAACGAAGGTATTATGTACAGAGGCTACCTTTGACAAGCGTGTCCCCATAGATGGAGGGACGAATAGATTGAAGCATTTGACGGAATATCTGAACCATGCTTCTCTGAGGACTTAATAAATTCCAAATCCCTTTGAGAAACTGAATACAAATCAAGCATCTCTATCATTCTAATGTTAGCATCAATAGCTAGCAAATCTTCAGATATAGACTAGGATTTGGAGTTTATAGTCGGAAAATAAAAAATAAACACTTTGTAACATTCTAACATAAAAGTGTCTACGCATTGAACACAACTACAAAGCATAAAAAAACCCCAAAAACCAAAGTGTGGACTTGCGATATGGGTTTTCAACAGAGGAGAAAACATTGAACCGTATGGTTTAACAAAGAAGAAAATGATTGAAAGAGGAATAAGCAAACCCATGCAATAGATATTAACGAGAAACCACTTTTTACTTGGACTTTTTGAGGTAGGTTCTAAGTAACAAACAAAAACAATAAGGCCCAGTTTGGTTCACGAGAATAGGGGTTTGGAATCGGAATCGGAATGGGTTATTCCGATTCGGAATCCTATTCTCATTCCTGCTGGAATGACATTCTACCATTTGAGGGAATGACCATTCCCTACCCCTCCCTTGGGAATGAAATCTCATTCCTGCTTATTCCAATTCTCATTCTCATCCCTGTCTGAACCAAATAGACTATGTGAATAGACCATTCTGATTCCGATTCCAAAGGATTCTCATTCATATTTCGATTCCGATTCCAACTACGAACTAAACAGACCCTAAATCTTGCAAACGCCAGGGAAAAATATGAGAACAAAGCTTGAGAAAAAAAATGAAGAGAATGATGGAATTTTTGTGATTATATTGTTTGTAAGAGGAAAAAAAAGAAGGGATATGATTCTTACCTAAAATCCTACAAGTTACAAAGAACCATTGTAGAGTAGGAACTGTTTGGAGGAGTTCACATCTCCTCCCCACAACGCCCCACAACACATCTCGTCCATGTATTGGAAACATCTCCCGATGATAATACTAGAACCTATAATATCATCATTGGGAGATGTTTCCAATACACGGGAATATACTGTGGGGCATTGTGGGGCAGCCCCTTGTGGGGAGGACCTATTGGACGTAGGAGAAGAAGCTGAGTGAGAGTTAGGGCTTTTGCTGAGCATCTATTTTGTCTTGCAAAATTATTGAACTGCCCATGTTCGCATGTGGAACATGGGCACTCATGTTTGGTTTTTAACCAAAAGGACGTAGTGAGAAATCAAAAGATGAGAATCACTCATTTGTAGAAATGAAAAAATGGATTTGGAGAATTCGTCTTTTGGATGAGAATTTCCATTCAGAATCAAAGTCATTCTCCAGAGTTAATAACTCCAAACTGCATCCCGCTTCAAAAAATGCGACAATTGCCAGAAGTGAAAATCCAGAGTGATGCCAAACGATGCCTCAGTTTGTACTGTCTAGAGTCATACTCCTTTTTTTTTTTTTGTTTTCTCATATATTAGTTCAGCTTTACCAAACGCCACCAAATTGTTAGGTTAATTTATATTGATGGTCTAACATTTATCCCAAACCACTAAGGCTTCATTCGCTTTTCGGTAAGTAAATGCAATTACTTGGGTAAGTTTTTTTTAGGAAACACTTATCCATGCTCTTTTATTTTGTCATGTAAATAAGGTAATGACTATTTTAGCTATAAAAATCCATTATTAAAAGGGGCATTTTTGTCCCATTCAAGTATTGACAACTTTCCCCCTAAGTGGGAAAGTTATTTATCCATCTAGGTACTTAAGAAAATAAACTGATCCCCACATAAATCTATAAAAAAAACATAAGATTCTTGGTCAATAAAAACCAAAATACCATTAACCAACTTTCCTCCTCTCAAAATCCCAAAAAAAAGAACGCCCCTAAGTACTACTCCGACTATATATTTGATTAAGAGAGTGAAAGGTCAACTGGAAACTCTGGAATGGTTTTTGGTGGCAAGCGTTTCCTAATCAACCAATGGGCCTTTAAAACGAGAGATCGATGCAATAACCCAGCCCTAAGTTTATACACCGGACCGGATCTATCTTATCTAGCCCAGGCCCAGTACGGTGAGCTTTGTAGGAAAATTCATGGTGATCACACGTGCTGGTGCTAACGACAAACTGGGATCTGGGTGTTTGTTCAAACTGTTCATGATAGATATAGATGTTGCTTTGAAATTTCTAGGTGGGCCCCAACGATCCCCGTGCATCACGTGCTCTACGATTTCGCCGAATCAAGAGTAATTAATGCCAAAAACGAGGGTATTTTTGTAAACTGCAGTTAATCTCTGTGTCTCCTATTTCGATCGCAGTTCGCAGATTGTTCGGCTTCGCAATTTCGCATCCAGCTCTAAAAACTCACTCCATCACCGTCATCAGCCCTTCTTATCGATCCAACCTTCTTCTTCTCGTTCTCGAAAGAGAAGAACGACTGAACGAACCACAGCCAAAGAGCAACTGAAATTAAGGTTTTGGAATTTCTCGGATCTTTGCAAAAATGTCTTCGACTTTCAGCGGTGACGAAACTGCTCCCTTCTTCGGTTTCCTCGGAGCCGCAGCAGCCCTCGTTTTCTCCTGTAAATTCTACCCCTTCCCGATCTGTAATTTGTATATTAGGGGATTATTTTTATATTTGGATATTATAGGCTCGTGATGGCGTTGTTGCAGGCATGGGTGCTGCGTATGGGACGGCGAAGAGTGGCGTCGGTGTTGCCTCAATGGGTGTGATGCGGCCTGAGCTTGTCATGAAATCGATCGTTCCAGTTGTTATGGCAGGAGTGTTGGGTATTTACGGTTTGATTATTGCTGTTATCATCAGTACGGGGATTAACCCTAAGGCGAAATCGTACTATCTGTTTGATGGGTATGCTCACTTGTCATCTGGTCTTGCTTGTGGGCTCGCTGGGCTCTCTGCCGGAATGGCTATCGGGATCGTCGGTGATGCCGGTGTTAGGTGCTCTCTTATTTTAGTTTTCTGTTTTCCTACATATTTCTGATTATCGTTTAAAGTTTTAATCTTTTTCTTTGATTTTTGGTTGATTTGAGTAGCGATCTGCTCTTCCTGAATTCCTGAATTTTTCCACTTGTTGATCTGTTTAGTTTTCATTGAAAAAAAAAGAAAAAAGAAAATGGAGATGCATGTTTTGGCTGTTTGATTGGATCTTAGGTTTTAGAGGTCTAATTTTAATGTCGGGTTATATAACTAAGGATCTTACTCTTCATATTATCGTCTGGGTATATTTGGAAATTCTGAAGAAGATGTGGCAGTGGGGGAACGATCTTCTCTTTCAACTTAATTGTCTGAGATTGCTGAATGTTATTCCAATTTTATAATAGAAAATGTTCCCTCACGAAATTCCATATATGTGGTTACGGGATTGCTTGAAATGCATTTACTGAAATTTGGTTCTAGAAGAGCAATTGCTCAATACTTTTCAGAAAGTCATATGTTTTTTGTAATTCCATTTTGTTTATCTGAAAACTTCATGATAGGTAGTTGAACATAAATGAGCTTGTCATTAACTAAATACCAATATGCATTTATACTTTTAAGAGATTTAGTTAGGCAAATTCAGGTCAAGTTACCAAAGTTTAAGTGCTTGCTTTTTCCCTTCATTTTCTCGTTGAAAATTGAGTTGGATATTCTTAGTGACACGTGACATACTGATTAAGAAAAAGTTTAAGCCCTGTCATATTGTTGCCTTCATTCAGTTCACTCCTTTCTGATATGTGTAATTCTATGATATCCGGATACCTATACAAAAGTGACAAAAGTGATGTAACATGATGCATCAATTTTTAGTTAAATTCCACATCCAACATAGTGTCCAGCCATGTCCTTTTTGTACCCGGGTAAAGATGTAACTATGTATGTTCAATAGTTTATCTTATTCTGTATGAACAGAACATAATTACTGTACAAGTTTAATATGCCTTACCAGTTCGAAAGTAGTAACCTTCTACTAGATTTTCTTTTCGCAACATCTACTTGGAACAACTGGAGCAGTTTAAACTAATTCAATCTTTGACAAAGTTCAAATTAGTCATATTGGAAGGGAAGTCCCCTGCCTTGACAACAGTATGTAGCTCATTCTGCATTGGGGAAGTCATTGGTATTTATCCTGATTTTGATCTAGGAAAGAAAAAGTATGCACCCCAATATATTAGATTAGTTGAAAGTTTTGCTTCACCTTAAAAACAAGACATCTTTGACTGCCTTACTATTTTTTAGGTTAACTTAATAGTTAATATAGTAATAGCATGGATTTTACACTTGAGAATTCAATGTGCATATAAGAAGGCTATGTGGGAAAGATGCATTCCTTTTGATGGGCATCATTCTGATTTTCTTTCCCATTTAAGGGATGGCAGTGGTTTCATGAACAAGTTTGTAATCCTGTATTATTTACTGAGGGCAACTTGGTAAGAAAATGCCACTGATCAGAAGAGAAAAAAAAACATAGATAAGTAAATATTATGGAACCATTTCTGTTAACCAGAGTTGAAGTTTTCTAGAGGGTTACATGAGCCAATGCCAGTATACTGGGTGGATTAGTCTCTGACATTGAAAAGAAAAGAAAAATAGGGTAATACATGTAAAAGATTTATTTTGAGTGCTAATAATCTATTCTCATAACTTTTTGACAACTTTCCCTTGATTAGATAACAGGACTTATGAAAGATCATAGTGATGGGAATGGAATGATTCCCCAGAATACAGCAATACAGGCATTCAGGCATAATGTTATGTATTATAAATATAAACTTCTATGTGTTATAATAAATTCAAACATATATTCTTTGTTTCTTTTCTGAGAGAAAATAATCAGATTTCATTGAAAATAAAAGGGGTACATGAGAAGATGTACTGCAGGGAAAAAGAAAATAAAAAGGAAACCACAACTTAAGATTACACAGGCAGAGGTTTTCCACTATACAAACAATCCCTTTGGGCCCCTGATTTAGCTAGACCATGAGCTATAGAGATCAGCTCTCTGGGAATCCAAATTAGAGATACATTAATCGAGTGCAAGATGTCTCTAGACTCGTTCAGGTAATGAGCCAGCCTCCAGGGCCCACCATCTTTTCCTCCTAGCCATTTAATGGTATTATCGGAGTCACCTTCAGTGGACAGGATGGATAAACCCATGCTTTCTGCTATTTGAATCCTTGTTAGAGCAGCCAAAACCTCGGCAATACCAATTGGGTCACTAAAAGCGCAGCGTATGTTGCCATCTGTTTCCCTGATCACTCTCTCAATTCCAGCAACTCCATGGCTCCACAAAGCACAGCACTTTCATCAAAGTTTAATTTTACCGCCACCTGACTTGAGCCTAACACCTGGGGAATAGAAGGAATCATAGGGGAAAAAATAAAATGTTCACCACATTTCTTTGCAGATCATTCAAAGAGATACAATTGAAGTCTTCAACATTTACCACCCACATGTTGCATAAATCAGATATATGGGCAATCAGGTCATCAAGAGATCTAGCCCTGTTCTCAAATATGTGGTCAGGTCAGTAAATTTTTCCCCCCTTGCCAAGTCCTTTACCTTGCCATTGCCAAATAAGATCTATAATATGCTCAGGCATGGTTCAACTATATAACCAACGAGGTTAAGGAAGTGGTGCCAAGCTTTCTTAGTTTCTGAGCAATGAAGGATGTGCTCTGCCAATCCACCATCCCCAAGTAATGAAGTGCATGCATGAGGGGAGATGTATAACCTACCTCAGTTCTTCTCTTGTTCCAAATTAGCTCCACCCCCCCAAACACACATACACACAAAAATAAAAAAATAAAAAAATAAACTTCTTACAGGGGAAGTTGGTTGAGAATAATACTCCTCTAGGAAGGATGTGAGAGCACCAAATCTTCTTATAGAGGGAAGGAGGGTTGAACTCTAAAAGGAGTTGGTTTCGAATTTACCAGCAGAATGAAGGTTCCAGATGCATTGGTCTAGGGACAAAGGGGAAATATTAACCTCCCTGAGGGACTGGTGGAAGTCAGTACCTCTAATTAGAGGTGCAACTTGGGTGGGCTTGGGTTGGTGTTTTGTTAAAATTTGAATGGGCTGGGCCCAAAGGCCCAAGGCCGACATAGTATAAATTGCTAATTCAGGCCAACCTGAGTTGCACCCCTTCCTCTAATCCCACACCCCTTAGAGGTCCTCAAAGGTCTACATTCCAGTTATTATCCTGGGACAGGGAAGGCAGGCATGTAGCAACAGTATCTTGTTGGTTTCTGTTGTTGATGCATTCGTGGAAGAATTACCGCCGCCGGCAGCAGCAGAGAGGGGGGGCCACACAGCAGCTTATCTTGCCACATCAGCTCTTCTTGCCAGCTCGCCAATAGTTTACTTATTCCAGTTCTGTTCTTACTTACCTAGTTCTGTTCTTACTTATCTATTAGAGATAGGAACTGAGTTCTGTTAGAAGTCTGTTAGAAGTAGGAGTTTGATTTAAAGTTGGATTGTCCTAGCTTAGTCGAATGGAGTAAGGAGTCTCCTCTTGTAATCTCCTATTTAAGGAGCTGTGATTTGGGAATAAAGTATCCAGTTTCTAGTTAAGAGAAGAGTGAGGAGAGTTCGGGTGGTCTCTTGGACAAATCACCCATTCGGTTTTCCACAATAGGGTCTGCACGCAAGGGAAGGCGCAAGGGGAAGCAAGTGGTTCTCCATGTGGACCGACCCGTGACGAGATCCTACGCCCAGGCCCATAACATTCTGGTATCAGAGCCTACCGTCATGGGGGAACAGGAGCCGCTGTCTTCCAGGGTTCACGAACTGGAACATAGGCTCGCAGAAACCAGCATGGAGGTTCGTGAAGTCAAGGATGATGTCCGGGAGCTGCGACGCCTGCTGGAAGCATTCCTCTCTAACAAGGAAAGAAGTTCTGAGGGAACCGCCACCACAAACAGTTGCCGTCCGGACTAGGCAGAGACGTCCAGCAATTAGCAGATCGCTGCCCCGACAGCCGCAGTTATTCCCAAGTATAGTCGGCTGGAATTCCCATCTTACAACGGCACCGGAGACCCGTTAGGATGGCTATATCGCTGCGAACAGTTCTTCCGTAATCAGCGCACTGATGACAAAGATAAGGTCAGTCTGGCCGCCTTCCACCTATCAGAAGAGACGCAGCTCTGGTTCTACCGACTGGAGCAAGAAGAACCTGGGCTCAGTTGGGGGCAGTTTAAATCATATTGTCTCCTCAGGTTTGGACCCCCGTTGACAAACAACCCGCTGGGCGAGTTAATCAACCTCAAGCAAACTGGAACTGTGGCAGAATATCAACGCCAGTTCCAAACCCTTCTCGCTAGAGCAACCTCGGTTCGCGCAGATCAGCAAGTCGATATGTTCACCGCGGGGCTACCAGAACCCCTAAGAGTGGACGTGGAGATGCAACACCCTCCCAACCTGGTCACAGCCATGAACCTAGCACGCGCCTTCGAACGCAAACTACAACTCAGCCACGGATCCTTTAGTATGGGGCAGCCTCCATCAGCATGGGCATCCCCGGAACCACTCGGAATGGCACCATATTCAGCAGCCATCCAAGAACGGAAGCCACAAACGAGCACCAATTCTAGATCAGCATCCAGTGTGGGGAGCAGCGTCGTTGCACCCCCCATTAAGCACTTGTCCAGGGCTGAGATGGCAGAACGCAGGGCGAGGGGGCAATGTTTTAATTGCAATGAACTCTACTCAGCAGGGCACAAGTGCAAGAGACTTTTCTGCCTCCTGGTGAAACAAGAGGAAGATGAGGATGAACCCCCTTCATTGGAACCCGATCCAGGAGGGCAAAGTCATTCCACCTATTCGGGATTCCTTTGACGGTGTTTCCCGACACCCATCCTGAATTCGAGCTTGAGGACAAGCTCGTAGTCCAAGAGGGGAGTAATGTTGTGGATGCATTCGTGGGAAGAATACCGTCACCGGCAGCAACAGAGAGGGGGGCCACACAACAACTTATCTTGCCACGTCAGCTCTTCTTGCCAGCTCGCCAATAGTTTACTTATTCCAGTTCTGTTCTTACTTACCTAGTTCTGTTCTTACTTATCTATTAGAGATAGGAACTGAGTTCTGTTAGAAGTCTGTTAGAAGTAGGAGTTTGATTTAAAGTTGGATTGTCCTAGCTTAGTTGAATGGAGTAAGGAGTCTTCCTCTTGTAATCTCCTATTTAAGGAGCTGTGATTTGGGAATAAAGTATCCAGATTCCAGTTAAGAGAAAAGTGAGGAGAGTTCGGGTGGTCTCTTGGACAAATGACCCATTCAGTTTTCCACAATATGGTCTGCACGCAAGGGAAGGTGCAAGAGGTTCTCCCCATGGGCCGACCCGTGATGAGATCCTACGCCCGGGCCCATAACAGTTTCTAGAAAGCCTAAGAAGTCTAGGAAAGGACTCAGCCAAAGTAGATTCACCCTGCCAAAGATCTGTCCAATAATCTGGTTGTAAAACCATTTCCAACTGTATTCATCAAAAAAAAAAAAAATACAAAAACATTTCCAACTGTATATCTAACATGTATTCTTTCATATGTGAAGAATGGGTTGAATTGTCTTTGAAGGATTATATCAATGTTTAAAAATTAGGAGGCACTAGACATGGTGCGGGACCTTTAAATGCATCTGAGTTACTACTGTTTTAAGAGAAACTTGGATGAATATGGAATAACATAGCAACTCTTAGAAAGCTCTCAAAGTAAAGGTTCAAGTATAAAATAACACCTCAAATGGTTTTATTTATGTTACGGCATAAATACATGTGTACTTAAGGCTTCAGAAGTTGTGAGGAATGTGCTTTTTATTCTCAGGAATGAGCTTCAAGTTTGAACCTTGGATTGTTTTCCTTGAAGCTCACCTCAAGGCATAATATTCATGTGTGTATCTAGAGCATTGGTTCATTCAGAGATTAGTACAAGTTATATATTGTATTTCATTATAGATTATTATATTATCGCTCATGTCTAATGTTTGGAAAGTGAGGAAGGCGATGCTATGTTGCATGCCATTAAACACCAGCAGCCACAACACAGATGCTTGTGTTGGTGCCACCATTCCACCTTCAATTTGCCCTGGCAACTGCTGCCAGAAATGCCATACTTAAGCCATGGTGGAAAGGAATAGACATTATATTTACAGCTCATGTTTGCCAGTCTGAGGCATTGTTCAAGCTGACTTGCAATATTCCTCTATCACACATGAACTTCTTGGACTTTGATAATTTACTAAACTGAACAAGTTTCTGAATTTGTTGGGGGATAACATTAAAGCCTGTTTTTAAAGCTTCACTTCAATGCAGGATTTGTTTATCCAATTTTTTAGATCCTTGGTTTCCTTGGAAGTTTGAGTACAAGTTCAATCATACTTGTGCAGAAGATGATTGAAAAGTTTGTACTTTGTAGTCCTTTCTATATTCCATATCAGATTCAGCTGGCAGTGTTTGTTGTATATGGTATGAGATGGATAAGCTGTAATGATTTAGAATGTTCTTATCCCCTGATAACCCATAGGTCCAGGCATCCAAATATGGTGCCTTGATTGCCTGTATCTTGGGTGTCGGACTATTGTTTGAAACACTCGCCGGAAATAAACCATTTATCTTCAATTGTTACAGTATAATAGTCCGTCCATCTCTTTACCATCATTTTGTTCTACAGAATTGATAATTGCATGCTCCGGATATAGTTTAAGCTTTTAGTATCCAACAAATGGTTCTTTGCTTGCTTCCAAAATAAAAGATATGTTTGAAGTAGCTTCTGTGATAAACGATCAAAAAAAAAAAGTAGCTTCTGTGCTAATAGCCTTTTCTTCTTTTTTGAGGGTGGATTTTTTTGGGGTCCCTAATAGGATATCATGTACAGCTTCTCATTGTACAGAGGACCTTGCTTTTGATATTAATCTAATATACTATATTTTACCTTAAAAAAGAAAAAAAAAGATAATAGCCCGAATGTTATTTGGTGTTGAGGTACACGCTTTTTCCTCCATTTAGTGCTCATATGTTACTGCTATGACTTTGGGTTGTTATTTTCAGGGCCAATGCTCAGCAGCCCAAGCTGTTCGTGGGTATGATTCTAATTCTGATCTTTGCTGAAGCTCTTGCTCTGTATGGGCTCATTGTGGGTATCATTCTCTCATCTCGAGCTGGCCAATCTCGGGCGGATTAGTGAAAGAGACTAAGTCGTGGCTACTTTGAAGCCTCTCCTTTCTTATTATAATGGCATGTTTAGATTCAAGAACTGCAACTGAACCAAAGCTTTGCTCAATATTCTATTCCATTTATGATTTTAATCAAATTAAGAGAACTTGCTGTATATGTGGAGTCTTATTGAAGATCTCCAAAATTTTCCCCAAATTTTTGATCATCTTTTTGATTGGTTATTTTAATGGCCTCTGCGAAGGTGCAAAGGTAGAATGAATAGAAATGGCCAAATGGGTAGGTCTGATTCTTACATTATTACAAGAAAAATCATTTCCCAAGTTCCTGGTTTTTTAAGCTTTTATTATTTCTTTCATAAATAATTATTTAAAACTAGTGTAAATGACCTGCATGAAAATCAAGGCAAGTGGAGCCTACGTCTGCCTGCCTTGATTGGGAAAGTAACTGGTAAGTAGAACCCTATTTAAAGAAATTGTTTGGGCAACCCAGCCTATGGTCTTATGATCACCACTGCAAAACTTAAGAGTGAAAAAGAATTTATAAAGGGCTCTAAAAGTAGTGTAAATACATGCCAATTAATCATGCTTTTTTCATGTGTAAATGGTGCTCAGATCCTTTAGTTTTCGTATTTTCTTTATTAGGAAAAAATGTATATTTTATTCTCTCTATTTTTAATTTTATCATACTTTCTTACTTGTAGGCTCTGTTTGTTTCAATCTAAAGTGGGTGGAAACGTTTTCAGGCTGAAATATTCCAGCTATACCATTTTTCTTTTATGGTGAAAATTTTGTTACTTCTCGAAAATTTGAATTGTCTTTTGGTGTGTGAACTGTGAACCCAAAGTTTCAAATATGGAACGTTGGGTATAAAGAAAATGAGCAATGAACAAAACATATTTGATCATTATAAGTAATATCATTTCAGTATTAATGAGATTTATATCAATTTATTGGCATATTCTTCTACCAATTTTCAAAATCTGTATTCTATTTTATAGTCATTTATGTATTTCTATCTTAATGAGATTTATATCAAAGTTTTATGACCTTTTCTATCATATCTATGTAGGTGTTTGGCAATGCCTTTGCTTTAGAGATGTTTTCTAAGAAAACAGTGCTGTTTGTATGAAGGTCTGTTGCACTGTTTTCTCAAAAAATGACACTTTTTTTTTTTAGTTTGGCATCGATGCTGCTACATAGGCTGTTTTTTGGGAAAACAGTATTGGTTTTGTTTGGTAGTAGTGCTGTATAATCGTTATCAGCATTGGTATATGATGGTGCGCAATCCGGTTGGTCCTAGCTGTCAACGACCTTGCCTCTAAACGAAGCTATAGGGAGCTTGAAACAGAGAAGATGGGGAAGCTCTAGGGGGAACCCGGTATGAATGCTTCGAAACCCAAGTTAGAATTCTTAGGCAAGATAAAACCAGATGGCGCAAAGTTCACGTACCTTGTTCTTGGGGGTAGGGAGCCTTTTATAACCACCTCGTGCACTCACTCCTAAGCTTCTGTCAGGTCGGGTACGATTACCTCTGGTCTCCTACCAGTTCGGGTGTCATCCCCTCTGCTGGACAGAACCGCCACTGCTCCCTTTTGTCGGA